TGCAACAGAGAAGGCTCTCCCCCGGGGAGTCGCCAGCCGACATTGGCTGGCAGATGGGATCCGGAGAAGGCCTAGTCTGTGCGATCTGATGGGTCTATGGGAGGTAATTGGCAGGAGGTGGTCTCTCTTTAGTTTCATACCAAATGCTAAAGCCGTGCTATTGTTTCAATCCACCCAAGTTGATTTGACATATCTAGCAAAGGGAGAATCCAGATTGGGACATCTGAGGAAAAAAAACCTGAATACTTACTTGTTTGATGAATTCCAGCTTGACCGACTGGATGCGCTGCTAGAAATGGTTCGTTCGTAACAGTTGCTGAAGAGCCTGTATTCTCTGCAGGCTGAAGCAACGTATGGGAGGAAGTGTTGGAGGAGGAGTGTCGGTTTCGGAATTCTAAGAAAAACCAAGATGCCCGTTATCCAATGAGAACTGCTCGTTTTGTTTTTGCAAAGCTTTTCCACGAAAAATTAACTTTACATGTCAACGCAAGCAGACACGCCTACATTTATTGCTTCAAAGGAGGAACTCATGAATTATTTATTCATTCCCGAGAAATGTCATTCAAATCGTTCATTTCGTATAATTTGTCTTCGTATCAATAAAAGATTTTGCCCAATCTTGTCTCCTCTGGGAAGACTGGATGGGAGAAGTATATCGGCTCATACATTGTGGTTTAGCCTTATAACTGAAGGTATACAGGGAGTTTATAGGTGTTTATGCTTTCCCAGCTATCTATTAAGGCCCTTTTAAAAAGGAAACTTTATACTAGATACTTACACTTTTTAGAAGTGTTTTATTGGGCTTTTAACAAAACGTCAATGGTCTTTGGCATCTTAAGATTTATTTCTAAGGAGTTCTGTGTCATTAACTTCTAAACTTTCCAGAGATATTCCAGAACTTTTAAAAGGACAGCTACATCATCTCACCTGCCCCCTTCCAGCAGATCGCAGAGCCTTTGGTAAGCGTGCCCTGTGCATTCCTGACCAGATAGTACTTTAAGTGTTTCTGTTTCTTGGGCTGAGATGTCAGCTTTAGATTGATATGATTAGAGAACTCAGTAAAGTAGCAGAATCCTTTCTTGCCACAGCCAACGCAGTTTCCAGAGAAACCTGGCGAAATAAACAGTAACAAAGATGAGGTAAGATAAATCAAATGGTGCATACAATGTGCTTCAGTCTGCGTGGAATGGCCTTAACAAAAGGAACATTAGCTCTGAGCAGAAGAGGAGACATACACAGACACCAGATTTTTCAAAATTAAAAAAAAACAACCTGTCTTTAATACCTATTTTATTTCTTTCATTTAGATTTTAATGAAAACTCAGGTGGAAACACCCTATCTCTCAGACGGCTAGCCAGGCAATTTGAAATTTGAAATTTAATAAAATTTGTATGCCGTCCACTCCCTTGGGACTCTGGGCGGCTTACAGACAAGATAAAAAGCATTAAAAAAATTAAAGGTAAAAATACAGTTGTTAAAATCGCATACCATCCATTCTGTCTAAGTGGGGCTGGACATTGATCAACAGCCCCAGGCCTGCCGGAACAGCCAGGTCTTGGTGGCTTTTCGGAAGGCCAGGAGTGTGGTGAGGGTCCTCTATGGTAGATCGTTCCACAGGGCCGGTGCAGCTACAGAGAAGGCCCTGCCCCGGGGGGGCGCCAGCCGGCATTGTCCGGTCGATGGCACCTGGAGGAGGCCCAACCTGTGAGATCTTGTTGATCGTTGGGAGGTATGTGGCAGGAGGCGGTCTCTCAGGTAGCCAGGCATTTGGATCCATGGCATTTGGATTGGGACCAGGGACACCATGATTCCTTCTCTGTTTGGATAAGACCTCATCGTACTAGCCATCATTACCATGGGGGTTGAGGTGACTTCCTTAGTGTGATCCAGCTGATGCAAATGATCGATGGTGGGATGATTAACAATTGGACTGCTCAATGCTTTTGATTGGGATCATTGGGTAATAAATAGACAGATGTCTGTGATTGGCATTTTTTTTTATTTGTCAGCATTATATATTCATATGCAATCTATAGCAAATATTTGAATGCTGGAACAGTGAGATATTTTGTCCTTAATTCCATCACTTGGTTTAATAATACATACACAACTTCTTGATAAAACAGGAAACTTTAGAAGAATGTACAAGAAGAGACCC